AGACTATACAGCTCTACAATAATGAAAATTTACCGTAAGTATTAGGATGTGTTTTCTCTTTTGCCTTTTTTATTTTCCGGGAAGGGAGAGATATAGTCACTGCTTTGTCCGTTCGTCTTTTCTCTTTTGCCTTTTTTATTCTCCGAGAAGGGAGAGCATATAGTCACCGCTTTATCGGTTTGTCCATCTGTCATAATTTTGTCCAGAGCATAACACAACAAGTATAAGAGGTATCTATATAAAACTTCATACTTAGATTGATCACAGCAAGGAGAAGTGTAGTGCACCATCACTCTCTTTTGCATAATTTAGGAGTTATTGCCCTTTGTTATTTTTTATACTTTAAATTTTGTCTGGAGCATCACACTAAAAATGTATGAGGTATCAACATAAAACTTCATAGGTAGATAGATGTCAACAAGGAGAAGTGCATTGCTTAAGAACCATTACTCTCTTTTGCATCATTAAAGAGTTATTGACTTTGGTAATTTTTTGTCCAGAGCATTGGACTCAAAATATAAAAGGAATCAACATGAAACTTCCAATGTAGATAGGTCTCAACAAGCAGGATGGCAGTGCATGAGAAGCATATCTGTATTATTGTTCTTTGATATTTTTCATACTTAAATTTTGCCCCAATTGGGCAGTATAACCCTTCTTTGAGGGCCGTTTTTTTTTCAATTTCATAAAATGTCTCCATTGTGCACAGAATCATGACTTTGTGTTTTGTGTAGATTATTTCAAAATTTGTTGTATATAATTTTAAAATGTTTTAGTCTCCTCATTTTATTCTACTGGAAAATCTGATAAGGAATTGGAAGTTATACAAATGTTTTCTCAAAGGAAAGTAGTTTTTCTTCAAACATCACCAATCTTCTTCAAACTTGCTTTATCATCATTCAAAGTTTTGATTGATTTAAGGCTGTATCCTATATAGATTAGCTAAATTTACAACATCAGAACTTTTTAAAAATTTGATTATAAACTTTTTAAGAAGGATTAAACAAAAATGAAACAATTGAATAAGAGTTATCTCCCCTTTTTAAGCACCATTGTACATGATGATTGAAGTTTGGACTGTACATTTGAATCACCTAGACGCCTCGCAGTTGGGACATAATTATGTAAATGTCATTGTGATGGAAAAGATTTAAATGCAGTGAAATTTAGTATTATTTTAAGAGAGATGATATGTACTTTAAAAGTTTTAATTAGCCTAGATGTGGTAGTATTACTGTCCATTTTGTAGCAGGCTTTCCTTCTGTCTGTGACAACAATGACATTTGTAGGGTGAAAAAAACTGAACAACAAGTACCAGTTGCGAGAAATTAACCTAGAAATAATTTTCATGTGTTATCTTTTAATTTCACCAAAGAGAGCCATATTTTTTTTCATTTTTTTTTTTGTAACTGGTGATAATTTTTCTTCTGTATCATCAATTAAGACAAGATAAATGTTACAGATTAGGCATGTAGTACTTTCTTTGTACATTTCAGGGGGTATCATAGTTTTCAGCATAATCATATTCAGAGTTTGTTAACTGCCACTTAATCAATGTAAAATTACTTAATGACCCAGATCAGAATTGATAAATGACCCAGGTCAGAATTGATAAATGACCCAGATCAGAATTGATAAATGACCCAGGTCAGAATTGATAAATGACCCAGATCAGAATTGATAAATGACCCAGATCAGAATTGATAAATGACCCAGATCAGAACCTGATAAATGATTCATTTTTCAAACCTTATAAATGCCAAGGTCAGTATTTGATAATTGACCCAGGTTGGAGCTTGACAAATCACACGGGTCAGAATTTAATAAATGATGAATTGTTGAATTACCCAATACTGGACTTAATAAATGACCCTTGTAAGGACTTGGTAAATAACCCAGGTCAGACCTTTTTAAATGACCTTGATCAGAACTTTGGTATATGATCCTGGTCAGACCTTGATCAATCACAATTATAAGAACTTGATAAATCAACCAGACTATTTAAGTTCAAAATTTTTTATTGTTGTTCAGTAAAATGATAAACCAATGCTATAATGATATCTTGTAATAGGCCCACCCTCTAGCCTAAATAAGGAGCAAGGTGTGGGAACATATTGAAGAATAAAGATGATATCATTATACTTTGTTTATAAAAGAAAGCAATACAGGATTCATTTTCGTCAGATTCAAGCTTGTTCCTGGAGCAGTGTTTACAATGACATTGACTATAAATCAACTGTGGTACGAAAACGTTGAATTGAAAAAAAATTTCAGTAAACTCACTCTATCAGATAGTAAATAGAGGAGGGTGGAAAATAGCTCTGATTTCAAAAGTCGGTTTAGACAGCAAGGTCATACATCACTGTGTCACCCCTTTGAGCAAGGCACATTTACCCTTGTTTCTTTCCAAGTGTTTTATGTTTTCTGTGTTAGCAATTTATGTGTGATGTTTGTCGATGTAATGGAGGCCAAAATACTTAATAAAGAAATTGAACAATTTTTATAATTTAATAGGAAAAATAATGTTGGAAATGTATTGAATTTTTTGCTGTCCAATGTTGCATATAGTGTTTGTCTGTTCCCTCTGATTGTGATATAGCATTCGGTTTAGAATAAGTGTCATATCTTGTGAACCTCTCAAAAGATTTAGATCATATTTTCGTAAAGGTATTGTAACATCGCATTTTACACCTTATCATATTAATTTGGTCATTGGTCAAGCTTAAAGAAGTCAAAAATTACAAATAGGAAAACTTCTGCAAATTCTTGAAAAAAGTCTTGCTTATTTGTATGGGATTGGCTTTCATGTTTAAAATATTTTCCTGTTTAGTATCCCTTAATGGTAATGTTCTTATCTGAAGATGGGAAAATTACAATAGAAAGTTGAAACTTAGAAGTATAATGAATTTCTGTGGTAACCAGAAATGCCCAACTTGTATCGAGTGTCATATGTTCAGGTTGCTATGGTTACTGTAGCTGTGATATACCTTGAGGTACTGATTGGTCACCAAAATGTCTGGAAAGTTTCTTTTTGCCTTCCTGGTTGCAACATAAAAAAGAAGCGAGGTTGCTATGGTGACCAAGCTGCCATGATCTGTTGTAATGTGATTCTGGATGTATTCCCCAACCAGAATGTGATTCATGCTGTTCTGGGTTCTATGATCAATGGGTTTTTTCTCCCAAATTTATTTGGTGTGTCACTGATTTTAGACATCAAGGACACCATTATGAATTGCTTCAATATCAAGGCTTTTATTTTGTTTATTTTTTTTTTGTTCTATTTTTCAATTCTAAGATTCAATTTGCATATGTTTTCGCCAAACTAAATTTGAATCAGTATCATATGAATAGCATATCCTTCCCAGCCCATTGATCTTTCCTGCTCTCTGTCAACACGCAAAATCAATTTTCAAACAAGATTTCATTTTTAAACAAGATTTTTCCCCCTACTCACTCAGTTCACTAATGAACATGTTAACAATCGAAAAACTGATCAATATCTTTTCTTTTTCAATCTCAATTTTCAAATATTCCATTCATCAAAAAAAACTTTTTCTTCCATTTGGTAACAATTTTCTTTCAAATAATTAAACATGTGCTGTCTGAATGAGAAATTACGAAAGTGTGAAGTTTCAAACAGTTTTTTTTAGGATTTTGTTTTTTCAGTTGTTGGCTTTTGGTTTTCTGTTGTCCTGGTTTTAAAGGTTTAAAAACCATTATTTGTATGATGGAGAGGGACCGGTGTGACCCTTTAGCAACAATAAAATACAGATGTTTTCAAGTTCTTGAATGTTAGAAATAAAATCACATTTTTTTCTCTTTTATTTTTGTTTCACACATCATAACTATCAGTGCTTGATGACATGATTTTGAGGGAATTTGTGCTTTTATGACCAATATAGTAGTAATGTCCTTATCTTTGACATTTGATTTTTCAAAATAGGTATGGTTGTAGCACAAATGGAATGATTTGTGTATTTTGTGTAAAACCTTGGACATTCTGATAATGTCACCATGAATGTTCTCAAAGATTTTTTTCCATCTGCCTTGTCTTCGTACCATTCTTCATCATCATCACTAATAGAAGCCTGGGGATGCTGGAAGAATGCTTTTTTTATTGCATTTACTAATGTCTTTTTGGAAGGATATTACTGGACACATTCAGCCTCCTGTTGCATACATTCATGCTCAATCACATTCCTTCTAATTCATTAAGTCCCTTGGTGGTTTTTCCTTTTTTTCTGATCTGACCTTCAATACATGAAGTTTTTTCACAGTTGTGTGTGTAGAAGAAGCACGTTTCAAGCATTGTCTCGTTAAGAAGCCCATGTGGTGTGTCCAAATTTAGCAACTGATTGATCATGTAACATTGCCATATTTCCTTCAATATATTAGTATAAACAAACTTGAGCTTTTTTTCTCTTTTCATGGCTCTCTTCAAAACACACTGCCTCATTGTCACACAAAATAATGACATCCACATGTCTATACAGTGGCATGATTCTTACAATCCTTCAATTGCTTTTTAGTTTACATAGGAGAATTAACCACTTTGCCTTCCAATTTCGTATATTTCAGCATAGTGTTAAACATGTGCTTACCTTTACAAATCTTATATCATTAATCATGTCCAAGTTACATGAAGATTCTTGTAGATAATGGCAGATTTCCTCTCAAATTGCAATCATCAAACTCATGGAATATATATCCCCTTCTTTAATGCGTATTTTAGAGTAAAAAATCAGACAACACACTGTTCAGCTTCTCAGTTGCCACTCATGATTGATCCAGTCAGATTCATATTACTTTTCACATTTCCCTCTCTGTCATGAACTCTGGAAGAACCATCACGGCAAATTTAGTTGTTTGCTTCATTTTTAGGCTTTTCTTTGTCTCAGAAAATTGATTATAGTGTTCTTTACTGAACCTGCTCACATCGCAGGCAACAATAAACAATGAATTGAAAGTACAGTCAGTGGCAACACCTGGTGCAAGGGACATCACTCTGGAACCCATGCTCTTTTACTCAGTGGAACCCATGCTCTTTTACTCAGTGGAACCCATGCTCTTTTACTCAGTGGAACCCATGCTCTTTTACTCAGTTGAATCCATGCTCTTTTACTCAGTGGAACCCATGCTCTTTTACTCAGTGGAACCCATGCTCTTTTACTCAGTTGAACCCATGCTCTTTTACTCAGTTGAATCCATGCTCTTTTACTCAGTTGAATCCATGCTCTTTTACTCAGTGGAACCCATGCTCTTTTACTAAGTGGATTCCATGCTCTTTTACCAAGTGGGACCCATGCTCTTTTACTAAGTGGAACCCATGCTCTTTTACTTAGTGGAACCCATGCTCTTTTACTTAGTGGAACCCATGCTCTTTTACTTAGTGGAACCCATGCTCTTTTATTAAGTGGATTCCATGTTCTTTTACTCCATGGAACCGATGCTCTTTCCTGGAGATTGGTATAATCTGCCATAGTCAAGGAAGCCGGAAACCATAACTAAATAGACCATGCCAGATATCCAATCAACTATGTAGTAATTGTGATAGTGATGTACTAACAAAGTTAAGAGGTCCTGTGTGGCCCATAAGGTATACGATTATAAACACATGATCTCAGAATTTAAGTAGAAAGACTTAATACAGAACAATGACAAGCTTTTGAAGAATCTCCTTAACTTGCACTAGATGGGCTTATTACCAGGCACAGATTTATTACTGGAAAATAATGGTCATTATTTGAACAAAAGACTACTAAGATTCAGGAAATGGAATACCAAAGTTATCATAAAACAAGACTTTTAAGTCTTCTCCATCATGCAGAATATTTTTATGTCCTAAGTATAAGGGACATCAGAGACACCAAAGTCTATCAACTGTCTTCTCTCTCTCTTTCTTTTCCCTCTATAATTTGTCCTTTTTTTCTCTTGGTTGTCCTCTTGGGCATCTTTTCAATCATAAGGAGATGCAAAAATCTTGATGAAAGCTACTTGACCCTCTTTGATTAGATTTCATTTAACTGTTTCCTGCATCAAATTCTAGGTCCCAGAAAAGGTCATAGATTAAAGGTCAAGGTCACATCTGCTGAATGCCTAATGTAATAATATTTTGTCAGTAGAAGATTATCATCAGATTAGACTTCACATGATTGTTTCTGAAAAAACCAATCTACTTCCCAGTTCATTTTCATGGTCTTAAGTTTAAGGTCAAGGTCAGATGAATGTAGGCAAACTGTGATTCTATCTTGTATCAACGTTTCTGGTAAACGTGTTAAACTGATTTAAACGAGTCTCATAGAGTTCTTCCTGGTATCAGACTCCAGGTGCCACTAAAGGGGAAAGGAAAAGTGTTTCATTTACTTGTGAAGATTCGCTCACACTAGTAGGCCTTTTACTCAACCATAAACTATAACACTGCTATGAATAGCCATAAATACGGGCTTTTGATCCCAATACTGATTTCAATTTCAGAAGGTATTTGACTTTACACCACAATGTGAATGATTTTTGTAGTTGTAAGTGATACAACATTGAACCAAGTGTCTTTGACAGCTGGAAACTGTGTGATGTTTCTGAGAAAGAGGTTAGCTCTGTTTCTAGTCAAGGCAACCCCGCTGTCAAACATAATCCAATTCGCAACTTATCAAGTAGATAGAAGCTAAGTTATTTTGTTACGGAGAAAATAGCCAGCGAGGAAACTATACATTACACAGAACCAGATTGATATGTGAGGCTGAAGCAAACTCATTTGTTTGTTACTTAGTGCGGTGATGGTATGCCCTAATTTCATCCGGGAACATCCATACCTAGTTTTATCTCACCGCAACCACATCATCGTTGCAAAGTTTTCGATAGACTGTGTCAGACAGAATGACATCCTTCACAGTCGCACGACGAACTGTTGATTATCACATGTAAAATTAGATTAGGATCTCGACACAAACCAACATCATATAATCGTTATTTGAGTTGTGAATTACTTTTCTATTGAGAAAGGACACCAAGAGTTTATCTACACTTTGAAAAAGTGTGATGGCTAGAGAACATTGGATGATCGATAAATTACATGTAAGGAATTAAAATAGGGATCGAATTTAACAATATTACTACTGTTAAGAAATACTGCTTATTGTCAAAGGATACATCAAGCATTTTTTAACTTTCAAAATTTTGTCACAAGATATGTGACTTTTCCACCATCTTTGGTCCCAAATTTACCCTAATAATTAAAATTTTTGTTGAAGTTTCTTCCTTCAGTAATATCATATGCATTAATGAATTTGATAATTTAGCACTGAATTAACAGTTTACATTAATTTATAAAGAAAACTTTTAAATGTCAAGGAAATTGGAAGAATTGCTACATACTGCAAACATACATATTTAAGTGGTATTCATATTTTGGCGCGCTGAAAGTATTGTACTAAAATATGATTATGTCTCTTCTGTTTATGGTATACACAGAGCATTGGTTTTATTGATGTGCTAATTAGTTACAACACTCATTTGCTGAAATGTGATAATGTGCTAAAATTTGATTGTACTAAATTAATAACATTAACAGTATAATTCTTACAATACACTTAATTGTATAAAGAAATCTATAGTACATGTTCAATTATCATCTTTCAATTTATTATACAAATATAATATTCTATATACTATAATATAATAATATAAATATACGTTTAAGAATTAAGATAATGACATAAAATACTAATATGAGAAACATAAAACAGTTTTAACACTTTAACAAAAGTTTAGATAAAATGAAATATTACTAAGAAGTACCTCATCAGCTCAACTAAATAAATAATTTAGTTTTTTAGTTCATCTACCTGAAGTATAAGTATCAGTTTAGGCCTTGGTATGGCATCTAATTGTCATTCCATGCCAACTGTTCCCTTTAAAGAAACTTTACAATAACATGAAAGGCACTGGGAGTCTGCAGCAGCTGGGATAATAGACTGACATTCATTCAAATGATTGACCTTGATTTATTTTCAAGATCACAGGATTAAAATGTCAGAAGATATCTTAAACTATAGATTTCTTCAATAAACTATTGGCCATGGGCTGTGGTATTTATGTAGTACCTTGCCTGGGGATAGGACTTTCAAGATTTCTGAAATCCCCAATCCCCAAGTTTGTTTTTGTGTCTACAGTCCATCCATGATACCCTTGTGTCAAGGCTAAATGACAAATGTCACTGTTGAATAAAAAGGGTATGTACAAGATGTTCCATGAACCCCTCAATAGATTAATCTCTCTACAGACTAATAGAGATGAGGGGGGTATATCTTTGTAAGCCCCTGCTCTCTTTGTTTTATTCAACAGTATGATTAAATAGTACATATACAACTTCAAAGAATCAAAGAATGTAAATATTGTAGTAGTTTGCTTATAAGATAAACATTATTTTCATATTAATTTGAAGAGAAGAATCTACTGTGGATTAAAATATTCATGATTGTTCTTTTTCCCCCAGATGTGACCAGGCTAATGATTATATAGAGGTGCATGATGGTCTAGACCGCACACAGCCAACAATTCGGCAGTACTGTGGAACAGGTGGCGTGGAGAGTCGTGTTGTTACATCCAAAGGGCCATATATGTTTGTTATCTTCTCCTCGGACGATATGTACCATCAGAAGGGTTTTGTAGCATCATACGATTTCATCCCCAAGCACAGCACAACTCAACACACAACGCCTTATGGTAAGATGTTTGTAATGACCGCAGTTTATTTTAACAAGGTATCCAACAAGAAGTCCAGCAAGACATCCGATAAATTAAGGCACAACATAATTGGGCCTATTGTAAGGATAAGGCACCCTGAAGGGCAATCAAATCTGACAGGTTTTATGTGACCAGGTTTTTGGCATTTCTGCAGTTAAGAATTTGTTAAAAAGTATCAAATTTTAACAAAAACAAACTGAAAATGATATTGTATAACAGCTACGTTATTCCCCTTAAAATTCTCATTGCTATGATAGGTACCAAAACTGAAACTAGATGTTTGCATTGAACAAATCCGAAATCTACAGTGGAAGTAATTGAACTACTTTAAAGCCAAAATACTGTCTAGGGAGATCACTCCCATACAAACATATAGTATGGAATGTGTCATTTATTCAAAGAAAATATCTCTGGGACAAATATAAAGCGGAAATATAGCAAGGGAGATAACTACTCCAATTTTCTAAGAAACAAAATCGTGGGCAGAAGTTTGGATTATTTCTTGCCAACAATTGTAACATCAACAATGGAGATAATTCTGATACCAAATACTAGGGGAGATAATTCCATCAAATATGACTAATGGATAAAATAATGTTTAAATTATCTCCCTTTGAAATTTTGTGACTCTTACACAGATCAGAGTTGTGATGTATGATATTTTAATGTAAGGGAGACAATTTCCACAAAAATTACAGGGATATTGTGTAAAATCTAAAGGGAGATAATCTTAACATGAAATATAAATGTTATGTGTAAAATGCTAAGAGAGAGAGTTTTAAAACTTATGCAGTGCATAAATTCTGAGGGAGATAAATCAGCCACAAATTACATGTTTAATGAGTAAAATCTTAAGGGGATATTAATCTAAGGACATGTAGTACAGGTTTAAGTTGTAAGATTCTGAAGGGAGATAACTCTAATACAAGAATCAAGTAAAATAAAAATTTATGAGAACAAAATGATTCCCTATTCTTAAGAATTAATGAGGGATTTTCAATAATGAAATTCTGGAGAAACAAAACTTTTATTACCGCTGCACACTCTGGCTAGCTGAACATCCGAAGTCCAGGAAATTTTCTCATAAGAATACAGGGGCACTCATATTAGGGCATGCGTCCTTATTTGGTCATATACAGTATGCTTAAAATAACAAATGCCTTATCTTTTTATAAAATATAAAGACATGCACTTTCAAAAAATACAACAAAATAGTTTAAATCTTACATTGTAAGGTTTATGAGCTTTCAACTAGTAATCATGAGAGATACAGCTCCAAGCCTCCATTAAAATCTGCTTGGATAATACTGAGGTACAAAATGTACCACATACAAATGGATACGAAATCAAGGACAGATATATACAATTCTGTCTAATTGCATTATCACAGTTCTGCTTAGAATTCAACAAATATATTTTTTGTGTGTTGGGATTTAACAGCCCTGGTTCTCCTGGTGTAAAAGATGTCCATGTCACTTTAAAACAGAAATTCTACAATTCTTACCTTAAAATTCAATTACTACCTCAATTAAAACCAAGACTGAATTACTCCAATGGGTTTTGTATACCTCTTAGCTTTGATCCATTAATTTCATACTAAGTCACTTATCAGTGCATTCTCGTCAAGTTTACATGCATCTTAAACAGAATAGAAAACTAATCTTTATATTCTCATTTGGCAAGTCTACTATCACTTCTAAAAATATTCACATACCAAATGGAACAATGAAAGGAAAAT